AATGATTTTGTCCTCATTAATGAAATGGCAAAATGGACTTGCAGCAGAGGCAGAGCAGTTTTATTAAGGACCATTGAAAAGGCTGGAGGAGGATTGGGATGAGTGAGCCCAGCAGAGAAGTGCCCTACAGCTCCAGCTGAGCACCACTCACCTGCTTTGCTGGGAGCCATGGGACAGGATGGGGATGTGGCAGAGGGATGGAGGAGCAGGGGGCACCTCCCTCTAATGCAGGACAGGCTGCCCTCAGGGCACACTCCTGCACCTCTGGGCTGCTCCTGGGCTGGGCATCTTCTGTGCACTGAGGCAGCTGCACAGGGTGACACTGAGGGGGAAGATTGCTCAGCTGCACCAGGGGTTTTGAGTATTTGTTTTGCTCGTTTCCAAAATGAGTCCTGACTCGAAAGCTTTTTCAGCAGCTGCAGAAATCTACAGTCTTCAGCTCACAGCCCAGTCTGTCATTTTGTGTTACATCATGTACTATTCCAGGAGGTAGAGCTGCCTATGATTTCATAGCACAGTTGATTTTCTAGCTAAATTCCTCAAGGGACCTTAAAGGAAATGGAAACTCACAAATAAAATGAAGATATTAAAATATATTACTAACTCCAAAATGCAGCATTTATTTGGATTAATAAAATACAAAATTGTAATGAGCCTTTATACTGGATTTGATTTTGGTTCTGCAATGATTCAATAGGTTCCTACTTCCCAGTCTCACTTTGTCTTTACTTTGGGAAATATTTTTGTAGAAGAGGAGTTCCTCTCTGAGGGAGGTGATACTATGGAAGATCTCTAATTGTTCTTTACTGCTTTAAAGTTTTCTGGGCTACTGTGAGTCTATATAAAAGTTGTGATTTGGAGTTAAAGTCTAGCTTTCATCCTGAAATACCTTATTAGTTGGATAATTAATTACCCCAAGTTCCCCAAGTGGAACACAGATACCAAGCTATTGAAAGACAAAAATTGTTCATTTTTTAAATCCTGAAGGAACACTCCCAGCTCATTCTAAGGCCTGTATATACATTGTCTGGTCTTTCTGGACTAACTAAACTTTAGTGTAGATTGAATGGGTTCTCTCTGACATAGAGGTTTGACATACCTCTAAAAAACCTGGGGTTTGTCCCATTGTGCCAAATCAAGGAGTGTATGGTCTGTGCTGGAGAAAAAAATCCAGCCTAATTTAGTTCCAGATGCAGGCTGACTCTCTATGTAAAAATCTCTGTAGAAGTTAATATTTCCTCCTTTGCTGTTAAGAAAAGTGAATTATTTTAGAGTATCTCATCACAAACTGTTGCCTCAGGGCAGCCAAAAGTGGAGAATGTTGTGCTGAGAAGATGCAGGAATGCTTTAAGAGGGCATTGCCTACTGTGGGAATCAGAGAGCAACTGTTTGACTTCATGTTCTCATGAAGATTTTGTGACACTGTGTGCCAGTTCACTAACTTGGTCCTTCTTTAACTGGTACCTATTCTAAAATTATATTACTAAAAGCAAGCATTTTCTGTTAACTCAGTTGTTAAGCCTCTTCAGGCATAGCTGTGAATAAAATTAAGTTAGCTGATAGGTCAGTTTATCTTTTGAAAAGGACTTGAGGGTGCTGGTGGGTGAGAGGCTGGGCATGAACCACCAATGTCTGCTGGCAGCCCAGAAAACCAGCTGTGTCCTGGGCTTCACCAAAAGCAGTGTGGGCAGCAGGGAAGGGAGGGGATTCTGCCCCTCTGCTCCGTTCTGGTGAGACCCACCTGGAACACTGCATAGGAACACTGGGGCCATAGCATAGGAAGGATATGGACCTGCTGAAAACAGTCCAGAGGCCACCAAGATGAATTGAGGGGTGGAGCACCTTTGCTATAAGGAAAAGCTGAGAGAACTGGGGTTGTTCAGCCTGGAAAAGAGAAGGTTTTGGACTGTGACCTTCCAACACATGAAGGGAACTTACAGGAAAGATGGAGAGAGACTTAAGAGTGTGAGTTATAGGACAAGGGGGAATGCTTCACATAGAAAGTAGGTTTTGATTAGATATTAGGAAAAAGCTCTTTACTGTGAGTGTGGTGAGTACTGCCACATGTTTCCCAGAGAAGTTGTGGCTGCCCCATCCCAGAAGTGTTCAAAGTCAGATTGGATGGGGCTTGGAGCAACCTGGTCTGATGGAAGGTGTCCCTGCCCATGGCAGGGGTTTGGAACAAGATGCGCTTTAAGGTCCCTCCCAGTCTAGGCTGTTGTATGAAATGCTGCTCCTGATCTGAGCTGGGCTAGCGCTGTGTCCCGTGTCCATCACCAGCCGGGCTGTCCCGGCTGTTGCAGAGCTGGGGAGGCGCCGCTGGAGCGGGGAGCGCCCGGCCCGGGCCTGGCGGGGCCGCTGCCGCCACCGCGCGGCCCAGGCGCGTCAATGCCCGGGGGCTCCGCATGCCAAAGCCGGCTCCTATAAAAACCAGTTGGAGTTACAGTTATTCCTCCCTCTTTTTCGCCCCCCTCAGGCTTTGCAGCTGTTTCTGTTTCGGCTTTATGAGGTGACAAGCCAAACTGTCCAACAAAACATGGCTCATTGTCACTTACTACTGCCTGTGGCAGATGCTGGAAAGGTCACACCACTGCCTCCAGGTAGCACAGTGAATCCTCGTGTTTTAGTCCTTGAAGTTACCCCCTTTTGTCAGGGAAATGTTTATGTGCAGAGAGGAAATAACATGGGTCCTTCTTACTTGTGTTGGTAGATGCTGGAGCATGTCCAGAGAAGGGAAATTAAGATAGTTGAGGGGTATGGAACGTCAGTCTTAGGAGGAGCAGCTGCAGAGGCAGCTGAGAACTGCTTGGAGGAGTCTTAAGGAGACCTTATCACTCACCTGTCTGAAAGGAGGCTTTTCAAGCCAGGTGGGTGTTGGTCTCTCCTCCCAAGTAACAAGCAATAAGATGACAGCAAGTTGTGCCAGGGGAAGTTTAGATTGGATATTAGGAAAAAAAGTCTTCAACAAAACCCCACTGGAACAGGCTGCTCAGGGGGGTGGTGGAGTCACCATCCCTGGAAGGATTTCAAAACCAATTAGATGTAGTGCTTGGGGGCATGGTTCAGTGTGGACCTGGCAGTGCTCAGTTACCAGCTGGGCTCTCTGACCTCAAGGGTCCTTCCCAACCTGAATGGTTCTATGGTGCATGCTTCCTGCTCCTGAACTGTTTCTGTTTCCCTGTTTAGCTTATCTGTTAGTTTATCATGGGTTTTAATCCCCCCCAGGTCATCCACCTTTATAGAGATCAGCACAATCCATAACATAGTGGAAGTCTTTTTTAATTTCTGCCATCACCCTTTACTGCCACAAGAGCAAACTCCAGAGTCTGAGGTAGGACAATATTTTAGTTGCTTTTTCCATTTGATAACTGGAGAACTGCTTAAAGGAGAGGGGAATGGCAATGTTTCCTCCCCTCTAGCTACAATCAGTACTCTTCTATAACTCAAAATTTGTCCCTGCAATTGCTCAACACCAATTAGTTTCTTCTGGCTCTCCCCATTTCCCTATCTTTACAATGGGAAAACAATCCCGTTTTGTTTTTCTGGTGTTTTTTTTTCCTTCATTGGTTTGTGGCTTTATCACAGCATATACTCCTCTGCCACATACATCTACATCCATACATCATTTCTAGATTACATAAATAACGTTATTAGGAAAAATGACCAAATGGGGAAAAAAAAGCAGCCTGGGAAACTTTACTCTGAACATGGAAAGAATAAAGTGGTGGGTGAAATGGCTCAGGGGAGGAGGTTTCCTGCAGAAGGCAATTGATGGAGAGGTGGCTGCTTTGCATGAGGTTGAAGAATTTTGGTTGTTTCTCCAGATTCTCCGAAGACCCTGATTTAATCTGCTGCTGTTCATAGTCAGTCACTTAGAAGCTGTAATCAAGTAGGGCTCAAATACTTCCCTCCCCCATGCTCTTTGTAGCTGCTGCTGTTAGACAGGAAAAATCTAAGTTCAACTCTAGCATTGCTAAGAAAAACGTGACCTCTGAACTGGAAGTGCTGTGCTTCTGAAGGGAATGTTCTGTAACATAGAATATATCAATGCTTAAACAGTGATCCAAAATAGTCTGGAACTCTCCTGACTTACACTGAGTCCAAAGTCTTGCCTGTTTGGAAGGCTTTAATGCACTGTATTATAAAATCCAATCTGCTGCACTTAAATTGCATCTTGGTATTTGAGGTGGGCTTTATGTGGTGGGTTGTTTTGGGTTGGTTTTGTTGTTGTTTGGTTGGGGGGTTTTGGTTGTTTTTTTTTTTTTTGGTTGTGTGTGTTGGGTTTTTGTTTTTCCTTTTTTTTCCTCCACAGAATGAAGATCCTTTACCCTTCCTGCAGCGAATGTTTTCCCTACGTTCTGGTTGTGTTTCTCCTTAGATCAGGGAAGGCTGGTGGGTTTCCCTTAGTTTAGAAAGGGATTGGTGGAACTCGGAAGCTTTTCCAGCAATCTTAGAGAAACGGCGCTTGTTGAATGTTACCCCACCTCCTCCCGTGAGCCAGGCTGCAATTCTGGGCTGGCTTCGGAGGAACCGGGGCTGTAGCGTTGCGCCTCACGTTTGGCAGACTGAAGTTCTTGGCCATTCGCCCTTAGTCCCTTATGGGATGCCACCCTCCGTGCTGTGTCCCCTCAGTGTCCCGCCCTGTCGCCTGGTGTCCTCTCAGCGCTGGGGCGGTGCTGCCGTGTCCCCTCAGGGCAGGGCTGGGGCGGTGCTGCCGTATCCCCTCAGGGCAGGGCTGGGGCGGTGCTGCCACGTCCCCTCAGTGCGGGGCGGCGTCGCTGTGTCCCCTCAAGGCTAGGCTGGGGCGGCGCCACCGTGATCCCTCCAAGCTAGGCTGGGGCGTTGCCGCTGTGTCCCCTGAGGGCCGGGCCGGTGCCGCCGTGATCCCTCAGAGCCGGGCCGGCCGGCACCGCTGTGTCTCCTCAGGGCCGGGCCGGGCGGTACCGCCCCGCTGACGGGATCCGGCGCGACGGCGGCCGCGCCACTTCCTGGCGGCGGGAGCGGGGCGATGGCGGCGCAGGACGTGCTGGGCCAGACCGCCCGGCTGGCCTCGTCCAGCGCCCTGCTGCAGGTGCGGGGCCGCCCCTCCCTCCTTCCTCCTCCTCCTCCTCCTCCTCCTCCTCTTGCTGCTGCTGCTCGGCGGGGCGCCGCAGGTGCTTCCAGTGCGGCTTCTTTCACAGGTTCTGTTCCGGGTGCTCACCTTCGGGCTGAACGCCTTCACCCTCCGCTACCTGTCCCGGGAGCTCATCGGCGTGGTCAATGTCAGGTGAGGGGGATCAGGGGCGCCCGGCAGGGCTGTGGGGCAGAGCTTGTGCTGGTCTGTGCCCTGACACTGGCGGTGCTGTGCAGTCTATTCTTGGCCGTGCCACAGTGTTTGGTCATTTCATGCCTCCCCAGGTCTGTTTTGCCTGAAACACCGGTAGCACTGGCCTGGTTTTTGTGTTTAAACCATCGGTTTGCTGAGGACAAACTAGATACAATGTGCTTTTCCTATAGGATATACTTTGTATCGTCACATTTGGTCTGTGGCGTGTATTCTTGCCAGTTGAACTGTCACTCAAAATTACTTTCTCTCCGTTTTTATAAGCATGTTGGCACACCTGTTGGAATTTGTGTGTAAAAACTGTGATGCTACTGCATGAGGGATTTACAATTTATAGAAAAGAAATAATTTTTTTTTTTTTTGGTCCTTTTCTCCCCCTTTTTAGGCTGACTCTGCTGTACTCCACAGTTGTCTTCCTCGCCAGGGAGGCGTTTCGCAGAGCTTGTTTGAGTGGGAGTGCCAAGAGAAACTGGACCAAAACAATTAATCTCTTGTGGCTGACGTAAGATACCTTTAAAACTTTACTTCCTTAGAATGTCTCGTTTCTGCCTGGGAGCTCACAGAATGAGAGGAAGTGTTTATTTACTGAGGTAATTATTTCAGAAGCCTCAGTTATGTTTCTGATCTAGGACTGCTGTAGGAAGCTGCTCAAGTCTGGTGCTTTAGCATTTTTGGACTTGATTTCTTGTTGGAGCACGTGAGGAAGTTCATTGCCAAAAGTGCCATTTCTTCTGTTGCTTGAGTTTCATTTGGGCCAGAGCTGTTGAAGGAAAACTGTGTTGCACAAATGTGTAGCCCTTTGTTTTTTCTCCCTCTTCCTGCTCACTTTTGTGATTTTATTGCCCGATGTGAACTTGCAACGTAAATGTTTGGGTAGGAGAGATGCAAAAAGGTGGAAGAAAGAGTTGGAATGAAACAACAAGGAGGGGGAATGGGTTGGCTCTTTCAGCTGTGGTGCTGTTTATAGCAGAACAGCCTAAAGTCCACAGGGTGCTGCAACAAGCAATCACACATTGCTGTGTGATTAGGATAAAGTGGATTTTATGGCTTGTTTATCCCTCCTGTCTCCCTCTGTCAGCTCTAGCTGCTGTGTAGCTCCAACTGGGCTGGGAAGTAAATTTACCTGGCTGATATGGTTGAACACTATCTCTGCATGATAAAATAGGATTTTCCCACTGGGGCACCTGACTTTCCCTGGAATTGCCCATCTGTTAACTGATCTGGCCCAGGAGAATGAGGGGTTATGTGTGGTCATCTGCATCCAGGCATAAAGCAGAGGGATTGTCCCTGTCAGGGAGGGGTCTAATGCTAATATTTAAAATGTGTTGTTTCTGTTCTCTAACTGTACTATAGTCAGCTTTCTGCTGTGTGGTGGCCTTTCAAGTGAGCATTAAATGACAGAGAGGACATTGACTGTGTGCATCTTTTTTGTTTTAAACTTTTCCTTGTAGAGAAGCATAACTTCAAATGAAGGTTACCTTCAGTGGAGCATCTGAATATGTCTTAGGAGCTTGATGTCAAATATCTTAGGGGGCTGATAGTGTGAAGGTCAAAGAGCTCTTGCTCCAATGATGTAAAACTTCATGGACTCTGCTAGAAGCTCTGTGTTTCTGGAGCAGTGTCAGCAGAACAGGATGTGCAGGCTGATGTGGGATCAGAATTGTTTGGTCCTAAGGCACAAAAATGCAGATATTTAACCTTATAGGTCTGGAGTAGGAAATGGACAACTGAGAAAAATGTTTTCTGTGTCTTGCAGAGTGCTTTAAGGGTGTTCATTACAAAGGAAAATATTCATTCTTGGTATAGTAACAACAGGAATTAATTCCTCGGGGCCTTTTTTGTATAATCATTGTGGCCATGTGTGATATTGTAATCTAATTTTCTTTTTTTCTCCCTTGTTTTGTTTTGTTTTTATTTGGTTTTTTGTTTTGTTTTTGTTTTTCTTTTGGTTTTTGTTTTGTTTGTTTGTTCCTTTGTTTTTTTTTGTTTCTGCTGAAGTTACATTTCCATTAATTAGTTTTTATGTTAACTTTTTAGAGTCCCCCTTGGTGTCTTTTGGTCTCTTATCTTGGGCTTAGTCTGGCTACACTTGCTTGAAGTACCTGACCCTTCTGTGGTTCCTCACTATCAGGCTGGTGTAGTGGCATTTGGTCTTTCTGCCATTATTGAACTCCTGGGAGAGCCACTCTGGGTTTTAGCACAAGCTCATTTGTTTGTGAGACTTAAGGTTAGTAAAGTCTGTGAGGTGTGTGCATGTGGGGGGAATCTTTGTTGAAATTACTGACTTAGACCTTTGTATATTCAAGCATCTAAAAACCCCTGTGAGTACTGTTTAGCACTGCATGGCCTGGTTTGTAACATACCCAGCAATTTGTACCCATTAAAGCAAGCAAGTTGGTTTATTTAGACATTATTACCTTCAAGATCCTTAAATCCTGAAACATAGGTTTTGATTGGAGGGAGAGACACACTGCTTCCACAATTCTACACGAAATATTGAGACTATGAGAGTCTCAAACAAAATTTTCTCCCTTATGTCCCATTCAAAGGACTGGGAAAATAAAATGGAGGAACTGTGAAATGCTAGAATAGAAGACTTACAGAGCAATGACAATCTAAGCTGGCCAGCTCAGCAGAAAGAAAACTGCCATAAAGTCACACTGACTTTGAACATCTTACATTCCTACATCAATTCTGTGCATTAAACATATATATATATATTTTTTAAGTTTGTGTATGTGGTTAGGTTGCCAGAAAATAACCCTTCTCTGTTTTGTGTTTCCTCAAGGTAATTGCTGAAAGCCTTTCAGTAGTGTCAAAATGCATTTTGACAGTTACTTTAGTAATCCTTTATCCTCAATGGGGCCTTTACATTTTTTCCTTGGCTCAGGTAAGTTCCCTTTGTTCTCTCTCAGCTGAATTTTAATTTTCCTTTGACATTTAGCCTGCTGAAGAACTTTGGGGAGCTGAGAGAAAAAGCTCCTGGGAGGTTTAAGATTTAGAATTTATATTTGGTATTTTCCTGACACTCATTATTGACTCAGTGCTTTGATATTGATTTAAAGGGAGGTAGAAGGGAGCACCTTCCCTCTGTGAAGGCACATCTTGCAAATAAGGTTGTGTTATTCTAATCACACAGAACTTTATCAGCCTGTACCACCAACCTGCATAACTTTATCAGAAAGTGCTAATCAAGTGCAGTTAATTCAGGTTAAAACTTTTTCTTGATGACAATGAAGGAGGGATAATTTTTTTCCTTCAGTTCTTGCCCTGGCTGTTGTAGATCACTTGTAATTGATGGAAATTGGAAATGTTCTATGAAATAAGAGGTGTAGGCAGTAGCTGCTCTGTCAGCTTGATTTTTGATTGAGTAATTGCTTTATAATTGGACCTTCAATGTTCTATAAATGATTAATAAAGCATGAAAATTAGCAAAGATCTATGATAACCTGCAGGTTAAAAAAAGATAAAAGGATCAACACCATTCTTAAGAACTGTTCAAATCCTTACCTAGTTTTAATATTTGGTAGCATAAAAACTACTTACATTTTCTTCTCACTGCATTTTCACCTGGTATATAATTCTGCATTTCTAAGTTAATTTTGTTTCACTGTTTTTCTTCTCTCCTTCCTGATCTTCCCAGCTTTTATATGTCAGTGTTCTGGTAATGTGCTATGTAATTTATTTTGTGATGTTTCTGGGATCTCCTGAAGCCACAAAGAAGTCATTTCCAGTTTCTAGAGTGAAAGCTCTATTACCTAGCTTTGTGGAGGATGAGGTAAGTTGTGCAATTTGTTTCTTGGTTTTCTTCTTAAAATCTCACATGAGGGCACTTTGAATGTTGCTTTTAGACTGGGGACTTAATTGAGTGGTTTTGGGGTTATTTTTGCACTATGGAAGATATGATAGATTAAGTAAAAATATTGCATAGAAATTGTGTTTGAAGTTTGTATTAGTAAAATTCTTGTCAGAAAAAAATCATTAAACTTGAACTCTTAGTGGTTTGGGGTTTGTTGTTGCTGACATGATTTGTGCAAAATGTTAGTAGATATTAACTGGAGATAGACCCTCTGCACTGTGCAGGGGAATGATCACTGGATCATCACTATCACTGGATCTGAGGCAGAAAACAAACCAGAAACATATAACAGTGGATTCTTTGATACTTTGATCTCTGCACAAAATAACCATGGTTTTCCACAGCATCCTAGAAACACTCAAATATCAGTCAAACAAAAATGTAGCCAAGAAAGAAATGAAAAGACTCATTGAGGAAGACAACATTTAGGATAAGATTTACAGATTGGAAATATAAAGGTTCTTGTTTGCAAGTCTTATAAGGACAGTTTGAAGAGCAGTAAACAATTCATATCTTCAGTGAGGGTGGAAGTTGTACTGGCACCTTAAACACCCTGGGTGTTTTTTTCCTAACTCTAACCTTGATTGCTGTTTTCTGTAGAATGCTCTTATGAGTACTTTGTCTGCAGCAACAGCACTTTTCAACAAGGGAATCAGTTTTTGCCAGACCAGTGATGATGGTGCTTGAATTCAGCAATACTTTACATTAGTGGTTAGTAACTGTGGCATTGTGGTTTCCTCAGCACTGCAGTCAGAGCTACCCTGCAGTGTTGCAGTGCCTTGCTGTTTTCTATTTCTACTTTATAATGTCAATCACCTTTGTTACATTTCAATTTTCTTTTTTTGCAGACCTTTGTGAACTGGAAGGAAGCACGCCTGACTTGGAGTTTCTTCAAACAATCCTTCTTGAAACAGATTTTGACAGAGGGTGAGGCTTGACAGAGAAGTGTGAGGGAAGAGGGCTCATGAAAACCATTTGCAAAATTGACTTAAAGTTTCAGAAAGCTTGGGTGGGGGGAGATGAGGCAGATGATTGCCAACCTGAATGGACTTTTTGAAGGTTTTCAGAACTGGGTGCTGTCCCATTTGACTTTGTCTCTTGAATACTTGATATTGGAAGGACCTGAGCAAGTATTGGGAAAGATTTAGGGGCTTGTTCTGAAGTTCTTTATTTTGAACTTACAGGTGAACGATATGTGATGACTTTTTTGAACGTGTTAAATTTTGGAGATCAGGGTAAGTGTGATGGTGTTGTGGAATGGTGACAGAGTTTTCTTAGTCACTGCTCTTCATGTGGTTCTGAAAATGACTTAAAGTCTTTGAAGATAGCTTGAAAATCTGAGAATGTTTCAAAGCCTTTGAGCTGTATTTCGGGGAATGTTTAATATAAACTTTAATTTAAGATAATAGAATTATAGAATAGCCTGGATCAGAAACAACCTTCAAGATTATGTAGTTCCAGCCCCCTGCCATGGATGTTCATGAGATGTTTATCTTTCTCTTCTCCTGTGTCTGTAAATCCTTACATTCCTGTTCTTATTCAGTGAACTTTATCAGAATCCTCTAAATTGCTCTACAGCTAGAATTTGAAGTGTGGTTTGGTGCTGTTCTAGATTTACTTCTGTCTAGTTGGTGCTTTTGCCTTACCTTTGCATAAACCTTGCAGTTTTAAGATGTAGCTGCTTGACTGTCAGAATTTTTAGAGAATACTGCTTCAATGTTGCACTAAATACCACTTGTTTTCTCTTTTTTTGGAGTGTTAAATTAGAATTCATGTTATTACAGACTTGGAATTAAAATATATCTAAAACTCTGAGATTGCTTTTTTTTTTAAGGTGTCTATGATATTGTGAATAACCTTGGCTCACTGGTGGCCAGGTTTATCTTTTTGCCAATTGAGGAAAGCTTTTATGTATTTTTTGCTAAAGTGTTGGAAAGAGGGAAGACTGTAAAGGATCAGAAGCAGGTATGTTTATTTGGATTAGTTACATGTCAAGTGCTTGATTTTTGTTACAGATAAATTGCATCACAGAAGTATGACAGAAATGTGTGTTTAAATTTGATTGTTGAGACTGTTAAAATTGAAAAGTGGAGAATAAAAATGTTGAGTCAGACTGGACCAAAATGAAAAGTGAATAGGTTAAAAGCTAATGAAATAGAAATGAAAATCTGCAGTAGCATTGTGCTGCCTTGCATCAATAAAGGTAACCTCAGCTGCTCCAAACAGTGTGATGGAAAGCCTTCTCTGCTGTGTACTTCCAAATATAGCAAACCATTATTTAAATCATGAAATCTATTAAATAAGTACTATCTGGAAGTAATTTATTTACTTAAACATATCAATAGCTGTTAAATAATGTTTCTGAAGAGTGCAGCTTTGGGAAGAAAAGAATTGGCTTTTTCTTGTGTGTTTGGGTTATATGAGGAGGATTAATGAGTAAGAGCTTTGTTCCACAGAGTAATATTCTTGATCACTCATGAGGGTCAGCCTGTAGCAGTCCTGCTAATTGCACATCAGCACACAATTAAATCCTGTGCTTCAGGTCTGTGGTGGGCTAAGGGAGGTGTCTGTGTGTGTATATTTGGTATAAAACCTACCTGGTGTGTAGAACTGAAAACATGGTGGAATAATAAATCTGTAAAAAGCATTACCAAGTTAAGAGCATGTGTGTGGATAATTAAATAACAAAGGATAAGTTTCACACCTTTTTATATGATGCAAACTGATTTGTTTCTCTTAAGGAGTGTTTCTGCACAAGAGTGGCTATTATTACATTGATTTTGGTTCATTTGATTTGCTATGTTTTTTTCAGGATGATGTTGCTATGGCTGCAAATGTATTGGAATTGCTGCTGAAACTTGTGCTCCTGATTGGCCTCACCATCACCGTTTTTGGCTATGCCTATTCTCAGCTGGCTCTGGATATTTATGGAGGCTCAATGCTCAGTTCTGGAACAGGTAAAGATTTATAGACCTGGCAAAAAACCACCACTCTTTAGAAAAAAAAACCCTACAGCTATTATGAATCTTTTATAAATCAGCAGTTTATGTTTTTTCCTGTGAAACTGCTGTTGAAATCTGTGATTTAGCTCATCAGAACCCTTTGCCTTGCTTATTTGTGTTCTTGTCAAGATACCTAGACAGGAAACTTGCTCAAATGAACTTAAGTTTCCATTATTAGTATTAACATTACAAATTCTATCTCTTGGTATCACTGCCTGTAAAAACAAAGTGCTTTGATAAAAGAAATCATTGACTATTTCTCTTTCTAATGTGTTTTTTAGGTCCAGATCTCCTGCGGTGTTACTCGTTGTACGTCCTGTTTCTTGCTGTCAATGGGGTAACAGAATGTTTTACATTTGCCTTAATGTGCAAAGAGGAAGTGGACAGGTAGGAAACAGTGTCTCCAAAATGTTCCTGTGAATTTATTTGTGCTGACCTTAAAAAGGACCTGGTGCTTTTGCACAAAATAATATCCTGCCCCATAGAAAAGCAACTCCTTGCTAGGCTGTGTCCATTTAGATTTAGATGTAGGTTTAGCAAAAGTTGAAAAGTTTGGATAAAAAAGGTCAGAAACTAAGAAATAAAGATTGTTAATTTAGCTTTAGGCACATCATAACTGGTAAAGGAATTTAAATGTGTGTTTTCTGCACAGATGAGCTCGAAGTTACACTTTTTAAGACAAACACTTGACTCATTAAAAGTTTGCAACTATTGACATTTTTCATGTACAGGTACTGGACATACACTTAGGAGTGACCCAAGCTGTGGGTGTGAATCCAGGGGTTTACTGCTTTGTAGGAGATTGGACTAGGTGACCTCTGAGAGCCCTTCCAGCCTGAATTATTTCCTGGCTCTGTGTTTAGACTGTCCCTAATGTGGCCCTTTCAAATTAATTTATTTTTCACAATCAAAGTAGGAGCTTTTTTGACTCAGTAAGGACTGCTTTCACCACCCCTTTAAAATGTGCACTCATTTTTCAGGTCACTGTTTATAACAGAAATGAAATAAAGTGTTGATTTGTTCTTGAGCATTCATTTTCTTTAATACATTCCTAACATAAAATAGCAAAAAATGCACAAGCTTTTACATTACTAATAATTGTTATTAAATTTGATTTTCTGCAATGAGTGCACAACTGATTAGTGTAATAGAATTTCGTTCACATAATGTAGTTCTTGGTTTATTTTGGTTGATGTATTTTCTATTCTTTCAAATGATTTTTTTTATCCTCTCATTTCTCAAGTTTATTTTCACTAGAAGATGGTAAGAGAAATTCTGTTACTGATGTTAGAAAATAAAAGATCATTAGTAAATGAATGAATGCTGGAACTGCATGCATTGTCAAATTATTTCTTCTTTTTGTTTTTTTTTTTTTTTTTCCCCTAGGTACAATTTTGTTATGCTGGCCTTGTCTTTCATATTTCTGTGCATCTCTTATTTCCTGACCCACTGGTACGGCAGTGTGGGCTTTATCCTTGCTAACTGCTTCAACATGGGCATCAGAATAGCTCACAGCACCCACTACATCCATCACTACTTCAGAGAGAGCTCCCACAGACCCCTCTCAGGCCTGCTGCCCTCCCCAGCTCTGCTGCTGGTTTACACCCTCAGTGCTGGGGTCACTGCTTTCTCAGAGGTGAGCTCCTTCCTCCCTGCTCTCACTGACCATGCTGCTGGCAGGTGCCTTTTGTGTCCACAAAAAGGGGAGTGCCATCAGGAAAAGAGGCTTTTGAGGGTAGGCTGGGAGATTTGCATTACAGAAAGGCAAGATATGTTGTTAAGAGATTCTTTGTATTAATGTTCTCTGCCACCTGTACAAGGTGGATCTGAAAAGTAAAATAAAATTTAACACATTTCTGCTGTGTGTAGTTAACCCATGTTCTTACTTATTAATAATGGAAATTTTGCAGTGGCACCAAGAAATTGGCATTAAAAATTCTGTAATAAAAGCAAGTAATAACCAAAGCTAGAAGAAAACCAAAAATTGCTAAGAGCATGTTTAGCACATTTATTCAGTACAAGATGCTAATTGTGCAGGCTGATTATTAAGGGGATTGGAGCTTTTCAATGAACAAAAATTTGACAGCTTGAAAAGCCATTATGCCTGAGAAAGGAGAAGTTTGTATTTTGGAGTGGGAGATTGCCAGTTTTGTTAGAAAATAGCCTGATATGTTGCTGTACAGTAGCAGACTTGCCTGATAGCACCAGCAGGGTTTTATGTCATTGCAGTTAACACATTTTGCATGCCAGATAACAGCAGCTTCCTCATTTAGCAGATATCTACTGATATTTTTTGCTGAACTTAAGAACTTAAGAAAGCAAATGTTGTGACTCCTGGAGGTGATTTATTGCAGGGTCAGTGCACGTGCACAACCGCGCTTGGCTTGATGGTGACGTTGTTGTGTTGGACAGAGGTGTTGGACCTCATTTCTTGTTGTGACAGTAAATGCACTTTGTGCTGACTGGTTTTCCTGCCATGCCTTGTTTTCTCTGTTGTAGGTGTGGTTCTGCTGTGACAAGGGCTGGATGGCCAGGCTGATCCACATCAGCACAGGTGCCCTGTGCCTTGCAGCCACCCTGGTGACGATGTTCTGCACAGAGACCAAGCTCGTCCACTTTGTCAGGAGCCAGTTCCTCTCCCGCTATCTGAAGAAAGGAACATGACCTGCTCCTGTGCAGAACAGTTCTTGTATGTGCTTGGAGTAAAGGGCTGTGGTTTTTTTCCACAAGATCTGTATGGAAAAAAGGTTTCCACATGTATTTGGAAGCATTGATAAGGGAGTGGCAATGTTGACACCTGCCGCATGAATATTATTTTGTCTTCTGAACTGGTCAGTACAGCAAAAGAGAAGTGAATCATTTTCTCTTTATGCATCATTCTTGTCTAAGCTTTTCTTCAAGCAGCCTCTGAAGATCTCAGCTGACCCCCTGACAACCTGGTTGACAGACTGTGTGTAGAGGGCTCCCCATCCTGCCACTGGACAGTGTGGGAAGGCCTGACTTGGTTTAGAGGGCTCTTATTTGGCATGGGTGCTGCTTAAGTAGGGAGATGATCAGGGGAAAAAACCTCCAACCAACCACAACAATGAATGCCATAAAACAGCACCAGTGTGAGTGTTGTGGAGCAGAACACAGTGTGGTGCAGGGGGATTGAGCTGTCACTGTTTGAAGTGCAAAGTGGGGAACAGAAGATCCTGACGTTTACAAGTAAATTAATGGAATACGCAGCGTGTGTCCCTGCTGGCTCTGTGAGATTATTTCATTCAGCAGATCCTTCATGTCTGAGGGCATTGATTAACTTGTCAGAAATACCCTGAAGCCTTAGCTGGAAGAGGTTTTGGGCATTGTCTGCAGAAGGTGTTGAGTACAATCACTGATGGTGCAGTTCATAAGGTTACTCATAAAACTTCTTACTTTCATTCCATTGTTTTTTGGGTTTGTCTGAGATTTTAAACGCCAGCATGAACAAATTTATCTCAATAAAAATTATTTTGTCTGTACAACTGAATGTTAAATATATTTAATAAGATTTTTTACAAGGAATTATGCATATCAAAGATGTCTTCATTGGATAGTAAATACTTCCTTTTGTTCCAATGTTTTCATCATATCTTGTTTCTTTACTTGTTCTATCTCAACCTCTGTATTGCTTTTTTTTAATTGATGAAAATTTGACATTCAGAAGTTCTAAAATTCCATGTAAGGCTGCTGGTTTAGGTGTACTGATGGCATATTGTATTGCTGGTCTAAGATCTGAACTGGGCAGTTTCAGAAGGTACAAGTGGCAGGTTTATAGTCATCAATGTTCCCTTTGCAGCTTTTGGATGTACCAGAAAATGTCAAGGTGTGAAAAATGTGTCCTCAGACTTGTGCAGTTGAAAGCTTTTAGTTTAATTATGTAGCAGCTCTGCAGATCCTCAGATTGCTTAAAAAAACCCTCACTGCAGTGGCATTGTGGAGTTCATTCTGGGGACCTCAGTGCCCAGGCTGAAATCTTTCTAGTGTTAGCTTGTAGTTAGAAATATTTTCTAAACTCTGGTGATTCCCTTTTGGAAAGCATTGCCAAAGATGCTTTCCATGAGAATTTGGTGATTGAAAAATGATCATAGAGGAGCCAAAATGTGACAGTGAAGCGCAGGAAGTGGCCTTGCACAGCCAAGGGCAGTTGTCTCCATTGCCTGGAAGGAGTAGATGCAGTCTTGCTGATTCTTCTTACACTGTTTTGAAATCTGTCAAAATGAAACAAACTCTACATTATTCTGTCCTCTTAATTAAGTTCAGTAGTTCTTTGCCTTTTACATTTTTCTCTTCTGAATGGTCCTACACCTTTTTTTCCTTTTTTCTGTCTTGTGTGGAGTTAGTTATGGAGTACAATTTCAAATATTGCAGAGAGTTGAAACTTCTTTATTGTGAATGGTCAATGCTTACAACAGTTGCTTCTCCTTTACTTGTTGGTTGTAAAAAATCAAGGCAATTGAAGCTATGGACTGTATTTCAAAGTGTTTTTCTTTATGCCTTTGGCATCCTGCTGTGCTAATATCTCAAACTGTACAGTGAATTTTTATAACTCCTTGGAATGAGAAATTTTGTGCAGCCCTGCACTTAAAGTGCTTTGGGGGTGGAAGAACTTCTCCTACCAAATTGAAGCCTGAAGTCATTCTGCCTTGTCTGTTCTTCCAGCCCCAGCTGTACACTGATATTACTTCTGCTTGTAATCTCATAAGTAGGGTAATGTGAGGAGTTCTTCTTCAGTGATGTGACCTGTGTAGTCTCATAAATATTATTTAATATAAATGAATTATTTAATATAATATGAACTAATTTAGAGACAAGTTACATTTTTATACCACTTTGTGTTATGTCATATTGGAAATATGATTTTTTTCTTATTTCATATTGGCAAAAATCACATCTCAAATGCCATTTTCTATGAATCAGGAAGATATTTAAGGTGACTTAATGACTGCTCATTAGCAAATTAAGGACACATTCCTCATTTAAACATCATCAGCAGGCAGCTTAGTGATGGTTGACTGGTGTTTGTGATACTGGATGTTTTATTTTTAATGTTTCATGTAGCAGGAAACTGCAAGGACAGACAGGAAGTAGAGACCTATGGAACTCTGCTGGTTTCTTATTTATCAGTGGGATCCTTAATGTCAGAGCTGTTAATTGCTTTATTGCTAAAGCAGCAAACTCAAACTCAGGGACAAAGTTGAGATTGAACTTGACCACGTTTCCCTTTTGTTTCAGCCCCATTCATCAGTCAAAAGCACAACTGTCTGAAGTGTCATGAAGCTGTTTTGCAGTGTTCTGAAATCTTTTAGTTTCGGCCAAAGGGCAATGAAACATTTTCTTTGGTGGAAAAGGTTATGATTTCGTGCTTTGTGGTGCATTTTTCTTATTTGTTGGATGAATGATTTTCAAGGTAACACTAAATAAAGTTTATTTCCTTTATATTTTGTTTTTGTCTTCCACTTGATGATTATTGGAGTTTTATTTGTATCATTGGTACAGCTGATGCTTGAATTTGGTTGGATTTTCTAGGATATTTTATGTGTAAATTCAATTATCAACATACACATCATTTCCTAACACACACACAGATAAAATTTTTAGTTTTGTGAGAAGTGGCATCATTATAGTAAATTTTTCTCTCTTTGTTTCTGTCAAATTGTTTGTATGAATTGGAATGGCCAAGTTCCTTTGTTTGCTTTTACAATGCATTGTGATAAAAACTGATTCAGTGGCCAGGAATAAATCTGTTATTTAATGAAATTTTTTAGCTGAATTAGTTTGTGAATAGAAATGCTGCTATTGGGAACTAACCAATTTCCTAGTTGTTCAATTGTTTGATTTTCCCCTAGGGCTGTAAATGTTTTATTTATAAAAAAGTAAGGGAGGAGGAGCCACTTTTTAGGCAAAGAAATGAGAATTTGAAGCTTTGCCTAAATGGTTAATCTGCTTTAGCAGGCACAAAAGATAATAGATAAAAGTTGGAATGTTGACCACAATTGAGCACCTATAAAGGGTGTTGGCTTCTTAGTTCATGTGAAGGATTGTGTGAGTGCCGTGAGGTCAGTCCTATAATTCCTTGGATCCTGAACAGTCCTTCTATCTATACTTTGAAATTGTTTTTGTGGACTTCATATTGCTGTCTGAACATCATACTTTTTTTTTTTTTTTGTGGTTTAATTGCCTGATTTTAAAGATAATGCCAAAGAGAGGAGATCTGAGGATTTTTGAACCATATCAGTGCTTCAAGAGATGTGCTGATCTGTAGCGGTTTTGTTCAGCACAAAATGCACAACTCATCTGCGTTCTGAGGCTGCTGTGGAAATGGAGCTGGTTTTCAATACAAGCTGAAATGAAGTTTGGAGCTGTGCACATGTGATGTACAGCTGGGCCCTGCTCAAAAGTGTGAGCAGCTGGGGATCTAAAGAAAACTGATAGGAAGTGCTTATCTCTGCTTCACTTTGGATTGCTTCCATGGAAAGATGTGTGTTCTCTGGTTTCTGGTCTGAGCTGTGCTTCATGCACTGCCTTGCTGGATCTGGGAGGAGGAGTGACCCCTTTTCAGTGGGGTCTGTCACTGCACACCCCTGTAGGGAGCTCTGTTTGTGGGATGGGGTGAGTGTGTGCCCTCTGTGCACACACTCTGGATTTTCTGGGAGCTGTGGGGAAAGGTGAAACACCTCTGCGTTTTCCTTTGTCAGACTTCCTGGTTGGATGTGGTAAGTGAGCCTCTGGAAAGGTTTTGTGAATCATGGATAATGTGTTTGGCATCATTTCTCTCCAGACTTCTGTGCCATCCCGCTGAACTGAGAAAGTGGCAAGGAACATAACCAAGAGGGCAGATATTTTATATCTGTGGCCCACTTAAGAAGACTGAAGTAATTAAAGCTGTGTCACGAAGAAAAAAACCTAACAGAGATAGCAGTCCTTAAAGACACATCAGGTATATGAGTAGTTCTAATCCAGCAGTAAACAAGAGTCATGTTTTGTTTTTTGTGATACACTTTAGCTCCAAAAAAGGCACAACATAACAGAGCTTGGGAGAAGACTGCAAGGTTTAGCTCCTGACATTCTCAAATGCTGGAATATTCCAGACTTACATCCTTGTGTCTTCCCTAGGGAGAGGAGTTGGAAAGTTCTGAAGGGATGTGCCTGTGTCTCAGAGAGAAACTGAGGCACAGCCATGCACTGTCTGTGAGAAAGTGCCTTGTCATCACTTGGGAATCTCTTAAACTCTTTTTTTCTTTTTTCATTTGTTTGTTTTGAATGCTGTTTCATTCATTTGTCGGCAAGCCATTCATAACCAGCTCCTCTATGTAGAGATGTCCCCTTTTTCTGTAAAATGTCAGCCTAGCCACTCATTGCAAAAATCACAAGAGCCCTGCCCTGGGCTGACTTGAGGAAGACGTTGGTCAGCTTGCTGAAGGCTGTGTTTGCCAGCCCTGACAGCACAGAGTGAGGAGGGAGCAAATGAGACTTGCACAGAAAAATTTAATTGTGGTTTCTTTTTTGTTCTGGATGCTTGACTTGGCAGTGCTGTTTTCCTAATGGAAGGGGTTTTTGGGAGTAATTTTATAAAACAAGTGCCATAAAGTGCACTCATATGCCTTCTCTTATCTGTGCAATGATTTTTAGCAGTCTCTCAGAGTGGCTGAGGAGATGTTATGAGACGAGGAAAGGGAAGCATGCTGAGTACAGTACATGTGCAAGGAACAGAGTGTCCTCTGGGGAGGGGCCTTTAGTCTGAGAGTTACTTCCCTCTCTGAATGCATTTCTGTCACTGCAGATAAAACTTTTAAGTGGATCTCTGCTGAAGTGCTTCTCTAGGCAACCAGGAGAATGTGTTGGAAAGAATCAGAGTATGCCCATGAATACTTTGCTGGTCAAGCAGGGTTTATTGATGCATTGAGGATACAGGCAATAGTGTGTGATTATATTTAACTCTCACTAATAATCCTCC